CTCTCTCTCTCTCTCTCTCTCTCTCTCTCTCTCTCTCTCTCTCTCTCTCTCTCTCTGTGTGTGTGTGTGTGTGTGTGTGTGTGTGTGTGTGTGGCACGGTCATGCCTTTTTTTCTTCTTCTGGGATTGTGTATAGTGAATATGACAATACACACACACACACGCACACACACACATGCACACACACATGCACACGCACATGCACACGTACACGATTCCTCACACACACACACACACACACAAGGTTTGTGTCTGGTTTATGGAGCAAATGACTGTTTTCCCTCTCTCAGGCCAGCAACCCAAAGCAAACTCTCCCTTTGTTCATGAGAGCTCCCTTTGTTCATGAGAGAGATTGACGGGCCCACGATCTGTATGCCTGCCCCATCATTGCCCTGGTCCCTCCCTCCTTCCATGCCCTCTTCTCTGGCCCAACTGCCGAAGTGCCTCTTCAATCGGATTTTGTGTTCCCCTTTGGCTTTTGCAGATGCCGCTCGTTCTGTTCATTCCCCCCCCCCCCCCCCGCCCCGCCCTCCCCCACCCGGCATGTCTCTCTCCTAAAACGCTTTTAAAAAAAAGGCGGACCATTTCTCGATTTATGTGTGTCCTCCTTGCGCTATTTCTCCATTTATATGTGTCTTCCTTGCGCACCAGCCATGCTAATCTTCTCTCTCTGTATCGTTCCAATTTTAACGGATGGCCCAAAGGACGCTGCATGTATCTCTCTCATTTCAGTCCGCAGTCAGTATTTTTCTCCCCCCCCCTTGGTTCAAGATCCCTATTTCCATCTCCCTCCCATCAACCCTCAGCTTGGCAATGTGTGAATTTACTCCTCGACTCCTTGCGCTGCTCAGCGTGCGTGTTCGGCCGGCCCTGGTCGATACGGTGCCTGCTATGAAGTTATGAACGCAGTACCAGGCTTGGTGCGCCCCTTGTGCGCCACTTGGTACCAGACTTTGTATCAGGCTTGGTACATGATGCGGTGCCAGACTTTGTACCACGCTGGCACGCTCGGTATGCAGCTTGGTACCAGAGTTTGTACCAGGCTTGTTCCAAGGGGTTACCCTGGTCTTGGTACCAGGTTTGGTACCCTGGTATCGGGCTTGGTACCAGGCGCTGTACTCCTGGCCTTCATACCAGGTTAGGTTTAGCATAACAAATCTCCAGCACAGGGATATAGAAGAGATTTAAAAAAAAAAAAAAAAAAAAAAAAAAAAAAGAGATTCAAAATGGCAAAATGGCTCCAAGTGCCAGGCTCTATATCCTGGGCAGGTAGGTTCATGCCATTGAACCTGCTTGGTAATCAGGCTCGGAATGAACGTGCACACGAACCTGCTCAGGGTACAGAACCTGGGGTCATAATAGGAGCAGGTTCATGCACACACAGCAATTGAGATGGAGGAGGAAGATTTGAGTGTGCTTGTACCCCATCAGCATCAAGATTGCCTACCGGTAGGAGGTTTGCATTGAAAACCTTTCCCCGTTTACGAGCAGCATATTCTACAAACTGTTCCCTGTACGAGGGCACATTCACAATTTCACACCAGGACTTTTTTCAACTGAACTCCGCCTGTGATTGTGGTCAGGTACATTTCTCAGGGGTTGTAATTTATGCCAGAGAGATCCGGGAAAGTAATAAGGTAGTCTGAGTACGCACTGAGCGTATTGCACAAACTGTTCCCAGTGTGAATTGATATTAAACAAGTCCTTCGGGACATCCGTAAAATTGGAACGATACACAGAAGATTAGCATGGCCCCTGCGCAAGGATGACACGCATAAATCGAGAAATGATCCAAAAAAAATAATAGTAATAATAATAATAATAATAATAATAATAATAATAAATTAAACAAGCTGTCTTTCTCATTGCCTATTTTGTGAATGATTAAGAATGGACCTTGCAGCTCACGTGAGACCAGGTGCATGGTCTTCACTCTACAGCCCAACTAAAGTCAACAACCTCCCAGTGTGTAGCCAATGAACTACTTACTACCCATCTCCTCCACACTCTTATGTGTGGTCCATCCACCTCCTCCACACTCTTATGCTGGCCACACAGTTCCCATCCGTCGGTGATGCCTGGGGCCCTGGGCTAATCAAAGGACCCATAGTGTGTACTTTGCTACTATGTTGGAACTTGGAAGCACTTTTTAAAAGTTTCTTCCCTTGTTTTTTTTTTTTTTTTTCCCTTCTTCAATGTTGAAATTTGAAATACTAGCCATCACCTCCACAAGCTGATGTGTGGTCGTGATCAGCTCATGACGTCATATGATGTCATCTCCTCCACTCTCTTATGCAGGCCACCGCTCCCATCCTTCAATGATGCCTGCAGGTTTGCACCCCCCGACGGTCGACAGCCCTTGACTGGTCAGCACGTACTGGTCGGAGGTCGGAGGCATATATGAGGATATATATAGTGACGATATATATATATGTCACAGCCCCTCGTTTGTTGTCCTCTTCTCTCTCTCTGCCTACGGTTTACCGGGCAGTTCTGTTTGTGACGATGTATATATGTTGTCCTCTTCTCCCTCTCTGCCTACGGTTTACCGGGCAGTTCTATTTGACGATATATATATATGTATATATATATACTCCGACGAAACAGTTTGTCACAGCCCCTCGTTTGTTGTCCTCTTCTCTCTCTCTGCCTACGGTATATATATACATATATATATATATATATATATATATATATATATATATATCGTCAAATAGAACTGCCCGGTAAACCGTAGGCAGAGAGGGAGAAGAGGACAACAAACGAGGGGCTGTGACAAACTGTTTCGTCGGATATATATATATATTGGGGTGTCCAGAACCCCTAATAACAGCACCAACACCCCCATAGCGGCCCGCGATACCCACATATGCCCCCCGACACCCCCAAACCGCCCCCAACACCCTCATATATCACCCCTATACCCTCCCTACAACCCCCAACTCAGATTTGGGAAAAGATCAGTGGATGTTTTTTTTTCTTATTCTGACTGGCGACAGACATGCAATGGATGGCTGGGCTAATCTACAGGACGCAATTCGCTCCTTTGATGACGCCTGGGCTATTTGAAAGACGCACAGTGTGTACTTGGTACTATGTTGGAAGCACTTTTTTCCCCTTCTTTTTATGTGGTCCGATGGACCACGGTTCAAATATTAAACTGATCACAACAGATACTACACTTGATCTTAGCCAAAGGTTGCTCCGTTCTCAAAAAACGAAAAGAAAAGGGGAAAAAAAAAAAAAATTCCCGCCCGAGAAGGGTATTACTTTTTTTTCCCTTGTTTTTTTCTTTTTTTTTCTTGAACATTGAAACTTGAAACCACTTCTAAAAGCTCTTTAGGGTATGAAACGGTGTGCATGTGAAGTCGTTGCCACCGCTACACATTGGAACGTTTAGATTGCCTGGGGCCAGGTCCCACTAGCAGCGTTGAGCTATTTCAACGCCTGAATCTGGACGTGTTTGTGGAGACGTGCATTTCAGGAAACTCGACACCATTTCTGCACATCTCCACAAAAGAGTCCAGATTCAGGCGTTGAGGTAGCTCAACGCTGCTAGTGGGACTTGGCCCCCCGGCTAAGCAAAAGACCCTTATTGCTTACCAGGCGCACAGCTTTGTGTGTGAGAACTGCTACTGCAGTGGAAGATTTTTATTTATTTTTCCTTTGTTTTTCTTGAACATTGAAATTTGAAACCGCTTTGGTTTGTTTTTTGTTTTTGGCACACTTTGGACCATTTCTCGCTGTATGCACGCCGTCCTTGCACAGGGGGCATGCTAATCATCTTCTTCTTTTTTTTTTTTTTTTTTTTTTAATGAAAGACACAGGCAGCCTAATGTCGTATGATCCAGGCGCTTCGTACGACGGCCGCTTTTGAATTATCTTTCTCTGTATTGTTACGGTTTTAATGGATGTCCCGGGGGACAACATCG